GGGGGGGGGGGGGGGTCTGAAACATAGCGCACCACAGCCTCGCGAGCCCTCAAGGTGTACGCGCTGGGGGAGTCGCGTATGTCACGGAACCCCTGAAACAGACCATGGGAGCGACCAACGGAATAGCCCAAACACGACTCCTTCGGCTCAACACCGCGCCCTGGCGAGAAGAAACAGGTCGGGAGGGGGGCTTCGGAAGGTGCGACAAGTCCCGGGGATACCTGGCTGCACCATAGCGCAGACTGAAAAAAAACAATATAGCCTACATGCAGCGCCCGGTTCTCCACCGAAACCGGCCGGGCCAATCTTTCCTCTCCATACCCCACTACCTCCCTTCAAAATCAAGCGCCAGCATTCGACGTAAACCCGCCCTACTCCGGCCACGAACGTATGGCGCCGCCGTCGCCGCCGCCGCGTTCGCTCACCTTCGTCGTTTCCTTCTCCTTCTCCTCCCGCCCTCTCTCCCGCCTCCTCTCCCTGTTCCTTCACCCTCACGGTGAAGGTTCGGCCTCCATCGAGGGTCCAACCCTCCTCGTGGAACACCGTGAAGGTCAGCGCGGGGTCCCGGGTGGCCAGGGGCCGACCACGACGACGCAGGTTACCCCCCTCGAGCGGACTCAAGCCCCGCGTCGCCCCCTGCCCAGGTATAAATATATATATATGCACGCAGACGAGCACCGCATACGGGTGGATTTAGCCACGTATCACACCTCAGGCGAGTAACGCCGGCTTCAAGCTATCCAAGTTTCTTCGTGTGTGCTTACCACACTTCTCTCTCTTCCTGTTGCACGCCAGGACATGAAACCGACCGCAGCAGCAGCCCAAGCAAAAAAAGGAGCCGGGTTCGTGCGCACCTGGCCGCGCACACAGCAGTACACCAAAACACACAGGCACGCACACATACTTGCATACGAGAAAAAACTAACTCTCCGGTCGAACGACGAAAACAACAACGACGTGCACACACCTCCTTCGTCAATGCCGCAACCTTCCCACCACCGCCGTCGCCGTGGGCATCCGGACCGTCTACCCCGTCCCTCCCCCCCCACCCCGGTCCCCGCGGCCGCCGCCTCCGCCGCCGCCTCCGAAACTCGAGTCGCCACGGGAAGTGCGCCTCCTCGTACAAGAAGGCATCGAACCGCTCGCGTTCCGCATGGCCGGCGGGTTTCACGCCGCTTCCCCGCCGGAAATGTACGACCTTCCGCGCCCGCGACCACACCGCCAGCCGGGACAGCTCCCGGTCCATGTCCTCGCGGCTCACCCGGCCCGCCTCCAGGCGGACGCGCGGCTCGGGGAGCAGGTGGGTGAGCTCGTCGCCGGGGCAGAGGCCCGCCAGCTGGGCTTTTCCGGGCCGACCTAGCGGGCATGAGTCCATTGCATAATGGAGAACGGGGGGCGGGGGGCGGGTGTATCAAGTGAGGTAGAGTTAGGTGGGGGTGTAAATGAACTTGGGAAGGAGGGGAGGGATACAGGGTTGGGTTGGGATTCGGGCAACGTCCCGCCGGCTGTGGCCTTTTCCGGCCCGAGTTCGATATTTACCATGATTTTGAGTATTGGGGTCACGGGGGAGTTTTGGGCGCGGGAGGGTGGGGGCAAAGAGTTTGGGCCCGAGGGAGCTGTGGTCTGATCGCGATGGTGCTGTCGTGGAGCAGTGTCCTTGCCGCCTCGTGGAGTTGGGCCGTTTATTTCGTTGCTACCACCATCCCGCTACACCACACGCAGATCGATTGTCACAGGCGTGGGTACATACGTGGGAATCATCACCTGTCGGGGGGGAGAAGCCGACGCTTGACACGAACCACCGGCACCAAGGGAGAGGCTTCGCCCCCGTCCACTTGGTCGCTATCCCTGATCAAAACAAGATTCGAGAGAGATGGACATGGAGGGAGAGAGAGACAGAGACAGACAGAGACAGAGAGGCAGAGAAAGAGGCAAAGTCACAGAAAGACGGGCAGATCTACAGACAGACAGAGAATGGGAGCGATATGAAGAGAGAGAGAGGACTAGAACAGACAACAAAACGACACGGGCATGTTACGGAAAGACGGAGGGACACCCCAAGTCAAACAGGAGCGCCATCATAGCAAGCCCAACAAAATCTCAGCCGACGTCACAAGCTTTTTCCTGAAAACGTCCAAAGAAAAACAAGGACAACAACCACCGAGCACCACCCTCGCCTTTCCCAGCCCCTGTGAACCCGGGGACGGGTTCCTCTCGTCCCCTGATCGGGACCGCCTCCAGAGAGAAGTCGAGCTCCCCCCAGTCCCCTTCTTCTCTACCGCCCTCCAAGAACACCACTTCCTCCTCCTCCTCCTCCTCCTCCTCCTCCTCCTCCTGAGTGGCAAGTGATAAAAAATCAATGGAGAGGAGAAACAGGTCAAGGAACGAACACATCAGTATGTATGCATATCCGACGTAGAGTAACGGAGAGGGGGNGGGGGGGGGGGGATCGCATTCCTTGACCAAAATGACCCTTTCAACGAAGCTGCATGATCCGGGTTAGCTTGGGTAGGGCGGAACATCGTCTGCCATCTGTGAAGGGTATACATGGTGAAGAAGAACTGGACACTGGACACAGGTGAAGGAGCGGTTTCACTTTTTACCCTCTTGACAACAACCGACAACAAGATACACCGCTTGAAGCTCGGTGGAGCACAGCGTGACAATGGCGAAGCAAGGTAGCGGGCCGTGGGCAGCGCGTCGCCACCCAGCACGTCCAAAAAAGGCAACAACGACGCGCACACTGCGTCGTACGTACTCTCGGTCTGATGACGGAATGGTGGTGGTGTGCACTTTCTCTCCATCTCTCGAGAATAGCCTCTCTCTCGAGAATAGCCTCTCTCTCGAGAATAGCCTCTCTCTCGAGAATAGCCTCTCCCTCGAGAAATAATACCTCCGAGGAAGAAGAGACGATAAAGCTACGGCATCTACACCACCACCAGCAGCAGCCGAAAAAAAAAACACCAGGGCCGTCCTTGGCGCATACCCAATATCGACACGTACATCGGCTCCGGCGCTACAGGCACGCGACGTCGACGTCGACGTCGACGCCAATGGTAGTGGTGGCGGCGGGAACCGCCGCCGGTCGCGGAGGAAGGTGCACGGCCACCCGAGATGCTGGCACCTCGTGCACTCGGGAGCGGACGCCGTCCACGTCGCCGTCTCCTCGCACTTTAGCTGCCGACACCAGCAACACGAAAAAATACATCAATCCGAGATACAGTTTGGTTGATCAAGAAGATGGGGGGGAGTTTTTTGCACGATGCCTTAAGTTGTTAGACCCATAACCACGCATGATACTGAGCTATGTCATTGTCGGTATTACTAAGCAGTTGGCTATCCGGTGCGGAGAACGTTGTTGGTCGTCTGGCAACGTTATTGTTCGACGATAATACATACCGTTGCCACCGCTTGTGAGACTTGTACGTCGAAGGTCGTACGCTATATAGACGCAGCGAGAGATTATATTAGGCGTGATGAATTTAACAAGAGAGATCTATCCTCACCATCTCCGAGAAACATCTGTCGCAGCACCTGCTCCCGACATCCTCGATCGACGCGCGCTTCCACAAAGCCGCTCGTCCGCCTGACAAAGGGAGAAAGTTGGCGAAAACCCGGTGCCGCATGAATCGGGGTTTATAGGGGGTACGAATCGGCACTGTGTCCTTGGTCAACGTCAAGGATGTGTCGTCGATCGTTGTCAAGGATGTCTCATTGGTGGATGTCCATCTCGATGATGCCGTTCGTTTGGTGCAGGGGAGTGGAGGGGAGGCCGACGAAATCGAAATGCGGGCCACAGTGAAGGAGGGGGAGGCGGGCATGACAAACACATGAGGTTCCACATCATGGCTTTCAGAAAACGTGCTCCTTTTTAGCCGCAGAGAGACTGGCGTCTCGTCATCGGTCACCCGACAATAGTGCGACTGACGCAAACAAAATAGAGCCACATTTTACTTCTTCGTGTTTAACGCAAAGAAAACAACAATCAAAGGTGGGACTACGCGCGGCTTACTTCCTCGTCTACTTAACAGCCATAAGCGGCAAAGAAGGAGTCGCACATTTCAGTGTTTGCCCCTTGTCCCTCGATACCTTCAAAGACTTGCTGCTCCATGATCGCTGCCAAAGCTGGTGTACATGATATCGACACGTCAAATGTAGCCTCTAAACCTTCCAAGGGCCACAGGTCACCGAGGGCTACTCATGCGGTTGCGAAAGACCGTCACAACTCGCCGCGCGGTGTTTTCAAAAACCAAAGCAGGCAGGTTCTTTACGCAACGACAAACAGGTGGGCCGACGGACCCGCGTCCAACCCCCCCCACCCCCTGCCAAAAAGTATCACGCCAGTCATATTTTAACAGTTGAGCCGGCAACAAACAAACGGCCGACAAACCTTTGGTGCTCGACACGCCGTCGTTGGTGTTCGACGCTCCATCCCCGACGCCACCACAAACGCCTCCTATTGCATCCTCGCTATCGTCCTCGTCTCCGCCGGCGTCGCTCCATGCCTTTTGCTGCTGAACCTCGCCGCCGTGCAATTGCTCCGCGACTGACACCACGTGCTCCTTCTCTCCCACCGCAGTGGGCTCGTCGTCGCTGTCGCCATCGCCGCCGCTGCTGCCGCCGCCGCCGCCGCAACCGCTGCCCGTCCAGTCGCTCGTGGCGTGGCTGCGGCCGCGAGCGTCGGCATTCCGATCTCCGACACGTCCGACGCCGGATGATGATTGGTCGCCGCTGCCTGGCGCCGCCACCGGAGGTGACGTAGATTCCGTGCTCGCTACCGGAGACGACGGAGATACCGTGGTGGCCGCCGAAGGCTGCGCCGTCGGAGATGACGCAGATTCCGAGCTTGGCGTCGCCGAAGGCTGATCCCAGGCCGCCATCTGCGGCAGGGGCAAATCGGATCCACTCTCAGCAGTCCGAGCGGCACCACCACCAGCAGCACCCTTGAAAAAGGAAAAAACAAACGACGACATACAAGAAAGCCGTGTCATCGTATCTCGCGAGCAGCTAAGCACTGCTGCTGCCGTCATGGACAACCCCAGTCCGATGAGTAGGGCTTTGGGTCGTGAACACACGCGCAGTGCTTTCCACCATAGCGACGGAGGATTCTACTACTTTCAACACCAAACAGAGCGTCACACATGACGCTTTGCTATCTAAGTTACCCATGTTTGCACGTACGAGAGAAGACGAACTCTCGTTCGGACCACAGAAGACTGGTCGACGACCTCGCCTACAATTTTATTGCCTATCCCCGACGCTTCAAAACATGTGTCTGTCCAATGGACGATACGATACACGAACAGCTATTGCCATACTTTTGAAATTTGGATTCCGGGTTTAGTGATCAAAGCTGTCATCCCTTCCTCTCCCTACCACATCGCGTCGCTCACCCTGCCTGCGGCAGATAACCTCTGTTCCTGCTGAAGGCCTTGCCGTTCCTGGCCATCATGTCGCTGTTGCTGTTGATGCTGTCGATGCTCTTGGTGATCAAGTAGTGGTGATCGTCGTTTCCCCGCCAGCTCCTCGCCTCCCGCTCTCCCTCCCCCTTCCATACCCAGCCGCTGCCGCTGCCGCGGTATCAGATGCTGGTGCTGCGTCTCCCCGAGGGTTGCTCGTGTAGCGCCAAGCAGCAGCCGCCGGTCGCTCCCGTCGCCGTCATCACTCGGTGGCTGCTGCAGCGGCAGCAGCCAAGGTCGTGGCGGTCGGGGACGCTGCACGACGTCTGCATCCTTCCGCTTCGGCCGTCGTCTCTTCTTTGACCTAGCGCGAGCACCGCTTCCAGATGCCTCCATGCCTTGCAGTGCACCGACTCCTGCTGTAATGATGATGACGCACAGCAGAGCGTGCTGGCCTCTCTATGCCGTGCTGTGCGTTGTGCATCGATCGGTTGTCGGTTGACTTCACAACTTCGCAGCAGTACTTATGCACGGGGGGAGCGCACAGGAATGGTTCGTATTTACCGGGTATATTAAGCTTTCCTTTACTACTCTCTGCGGCACCCCTATCTCAACCGCCGATCGTGTTATCCTTGGCCGGACCATCGTTCAATCTTACGGCTCTCCATCTCTGCTTACACAACAAAGTGTGCGCCCCAGGCCCATAACCTACTCACCAGCAGAAGGGCGGCAGCAGTAACAAGCAAGGGGGCCTTCATTAACAGAAAAGAGCGTGTAGGGGGGGGTTGCATGTATGGAAACGGCCTCCGTGCGGCATATGTACGGCATGTACATGGCTGACACTTCTACCCACGAGATAGCCGCAGTCGGAGGAGGAGGAGGAGGGAGAAGATCAGAAGGAGGGGGCGGGGGTAGTACGGCCTGGTTCTCCTTCTCCACCAAGTGAGTTTCGTTCTTCGTGGTTTCGGCAGGAATCCGAGTTGGATAATTATATGGCGTCGTAAGTTGGGGTTTGTGTATATGCACCGGCTCTTCTTCAATCCTCTCCTGCTGTACAGCCATCTCCTTACCGCTATAGCAACCTTATTTCTCCGAAACTCTACTACACACCCCAACATTGGCTTCTTCTGCCCATATCACCGTGTACCCGTGCTAACAGTACTACTGGCGCTGGCACTGCTGTGACTCCTGTGTCAACACTGGTGCTATGTTTCCTGTGGATGGAGCCTTGGTGTGTCCTTTCGAAGCAATGAGCTCTTGCGTGCGTATGCATCCCTTCCAACGGCAACACAGGACACAAGCTAACCCTAGCCCACACAATCGCTCGCTGCTTCTACATGACGTTTCAACCCACCAATACGCGGTTTCCTCTTGTATTGTCGGAGACATTTCTTACATAACGCAAGGTTCTTGCTGTGCATTGCGCATTCCGTCAATTTTTCAACTTGCTTCCTTTTTTTTTCGCCGACGGGCAGCGGTTTTTGCGAATTTTTGCGGTTTTGCGTAGCCGGCACTAGACTACATGCTCTGGCATCGAACACGTTTCGTCGCGATCGTAGAATGAAGTTCTGTACAGTAGGGGGCCCTCTATAGTGCCGGTATGTGTTCAGAGCAAAGCGGCACTATACCGGGCACCGGCACTATTCAGAGTACAGAAAGACTTGATATTCCGGTGTGTGCGAGCCGAAAACACCGGCACTATACCGGCAACCGGCACTATTCAACCGGCACTATATCGGACCACCCACTGTACGTAGTAAATATATATTGTTTGTTCTTGTGTGCATATTCAAAACCAGCACTTGTCCATCGCCATGCGAATGTAAAGTCCAGGAGTTTTTGGCATTGCATTCGTAATGCAGGCATACACTTGTTGTTTTACTCATCCTCTGCTTGTGACCCGGCTGTGTTTGCAACAGCAGCAGCAGTGATATCTCCCCTGCCTGACAGGCTGGAGACGTTTTGACGATCATCCTGTGTTTCGGACTGTTGTGTATGATAGGAGAGGAGGAGGAATAGATCTTGCCCTCCATTTCTAAACAACGTAACTGGCTTGCCTCCCTTTCCCCTCGGCACCCGACCGGAGGCAGCGTGTTTACGCTTGGAGGGTTCAACATCATTGGAGCGTAGAGCTTCAGCGAGGTATCAATCGCCCCTTGCCACGCCTCCAAAGTACGGGCCTCCTCCCGGCCTGATCCCCCCTACGTTCCTTCACGTCGCCTCCCCCCTCCCCCCCACGACAAAGTTAGAAGAAACGATTGGCCAACGGTGATCGGTCCTGTGGGAACAATGCTCCGTCCTGTCAAGGACGCGTGGTCGATGGTCTAACAGCCGGTAAGGCATGGAAATGATGAGAGTACGCCACCCCCCCCCGTGATGTGTTATTTGTTCCCATTTTAGGGTGGCTGAGGCCGGAGCGGAGGCCATGGCTTCCAAGGCGGACAGGCTGAAGCAGAAGGCGCTGTCCGTGGTGGACACGGTTCAGACGCTGTCCTCCGGCACCGACAGCAGCAACTCTTGTACCATCACGGTCAAGGTGGGTGAGAGGGACAAAACATGGTGGTGGTTCTTGGGAGGTGGTGGCCACCTCGTGAAAGCGCTTCACGAAGCCTTTCTCGCTTGTGCGCGCGTATCGCTCTCGCCGGCAAGAGAAAGCGTACTTCCTGGGAGGCAGCACTGACTCTTCCCCTTGCGTGTCAGCGCACTAGATCGTGTTGTTTTAGACCCGGTAGAGCCAGGTTTCTTGAATGGCAGAACAAGTTACGACCTGCTGTCTTGCAGCCTCAAGACGGTGAATTCGTCAACAGCAGGATGCAGTAAATGACACCCTGGTTGGTATTCAAACACTCGTACTAAAGCAACCTCACCAGTCTCCTCGCTGCTTCGACTACTTGGTATCCCCGTGCTTCACCAACCGCTGCTGTCCCCTCTGCTCGCCTCGACCCAACCGCCGCCGCCGCTGCCCCCCCTCCGCTCGTCTCTCTCAGAGCTCTCCCCCCCGCACGGCGGCGGAGATGACGAAGCTCTCCGTGAGGCGAGGCTGGATGTTCAAGAAGAACAAGCAGGGCGCGTGGCAGCGGCGGTACTGCTGCCTCGTGCCGCACACCTTCCTCTACTACTTTGAGTCTAAGGACGCAGAGGTGGGACCGACGCCATCCGCTCTATTTTAGGCTACACAACGTAGACTACCCAGTAGCGGGGGTCCCCGAACATCGCGGTCTGAATAAGGTGGTCGCCCTATGTAAGGCGGGCGGTGGCATAGACGGAATAGTCGAAGTTAATCTACACGTTGAATGATGCGGTTGCCTCGCCAATGCCTTATTGGGGGACCCCACGCTGTATCTCCAGCTTGCTGTAGATCTCACGCCTCTTCCTCGTGACTAGCAGGCCAGGCTATCGAGAATTTGTGCGTCTTAGCCGTTTTGAGACGAGGAGACATGGGGGGCCATCTCGAAACCAGCGTTCGATGCCCCCTTGTCCTTCGCCAGACCCCTGCCCTCCTCTCTTGCTGAGCATTACGACCTTCCTTCTTTCGGCGGCCCAACGACTCTTGTCGTACAGGGTGTATGTAACTAAACATTGTTGCCTAACTAACTTGGCCAACATCCCCAGGTCCCGAGAGGGGTCATCGACCTAGACCCTTACACCAATATCGGGGTGGACCAGAGGACCGGCGCCATCGTCCTGGGACCCGGGGGGTCGTGGACCGCGGCAGGGCAAGGACTCAGGAAGTTTTACTTCAAGCCGGAAGAAAGACGAGTGATGAGGGCGACAGCGGCGGATGGGGCCGGCGCAAACGTCACCGCCGTTGCGGAGGCGGATGGTGAAGGCGGGGGCTCCGGGGTCGCGAAGAAGGGGGACGGGGTGGGGGGCGAGGTCGTCGGCGAGTGGCTGTCCGGGCTGCACCGGGAGCGGTACAAGGTGGTCCGGGACGAGCGGGACGCCTACATGAACCTGCAGGTGCGGGGGGGTGGAGAGTGCGCGCTTGTTTCGTTGCTGGCGGATTTACCAACACATTTGGGCATAAATTCCTGTCGAGATTGTGTCTCGTTTAACATGCCGTATGCGTTCATCCTTTGCTGGAGGAGGCAAGCACGGTCTTGGTCGTCAGACTTTTGCTGGGATCGCACCGCACTTTTGTTGTGGCAGTTGTGCTGCTTGGTGGGTGATGGCCAGCTCCTCTCAGCTCCTCCCGCTTTTGGCATATGCGTCTGTTACTTTTGTTTGCGTCGTCTGCGCTAACCGGCCGACGGACGACGAAGGCGTCAGTTGATTCATGGCGGGATGAAACATGGTTTCTATTCCGCATGCTCCCTTGACAGGAGGACCGTTACGGAACTGATTAGACTGCGATACATGCGTGTTTACGTGTGTTTGGTGTGCTTTTTCTTCTCTATCGCTCCAGAATAGGTGCTCCTTTCGAGCTGGCTCGTTCTCCCCCCGATGCTGATCTCCTGTCTGTTCTATAAGCAGCGCCAGCTATCTTTGATCGCTGGCTGCACACAGCAGGGCTTCTCGGACTTGATCTACCCGTCAGTAGAATGAGAAGCTGGACCGCCTACACAGGATTTCAAGAGTATCTAGAAAAAGAATGGGGAGGGGGCACGCAGAACCTCTCTATTCCCCAAACGCTAAACCCAAAGCACGGATTGAATACTTTGTCCCATATGTTCGCTTAATCCATTTTGCTGCGTAGACTACTGCAGAAGCTTCACTTGATCTCACATCATCCACCCCCGTTCATCACCCCGCCCCCCCCCCCCC